ACTCTACCCTGGCTGAAACCAGGACAGAAGAGAGAAAGGTGTTGCAAAGCTGCAGTATGGTAGAGGTGAGGAAGCAGGATTAGAGGGTAGAACTGGAAGGGGCACAGGCTTGAGACACGCAGGTATGAAAGTTTAGTCATCTTTCCTCGGTACATTTGAACGAAACTGGAAGGTTTGAACAACAGCCTGAAATCTTGTTTCACTTGTTGAACAATCTGTGTTGTGAAAGGAGGTTTTGCTATTTTTAAGTTGAGATTTTGAAACGATGGTCCAGATTCTGCAATTCTTGACCAAGCAAAGAGAAAATTCTTTCAGGAGAGTCAGGGCTTCTGCGTACTCTCAGGCTCTGCAAAACACAGAAGCCGCAATTGGACTTGTTAGATGATTGCATCTTTATGTTGCTCTTTTTCCACTCTGCTATTATGAGCCTTTCTGTGACGGAAGGTTTTAAGAATTTTAGGGCCTTTTTCTACTTCATTAGAGTTTGATTAGAGGACCCTGGCTTAGGAGCAAGTGATTAACTGGTCCTACATGTGCTTTCAAAGGCTTTTGGGGAGCTTTTATGGCTTTAAAACATCCTTTCACTTTAATGATTATATTTTCCTTTCTTTTTTTTCCCTTTCCCCCCCTAATAGCAGATGATAAATAATTCAATCCAGTACAAGAACTTCCAGATTGAGGTGAAGAAAGGCGGGTACTTCCTACATGGTTCGAACAAGTCTTCCTCATCCTTAAAAGAACTGATGGATCACCTGAAAGGACAAATACTTCGGACAGACAACATAAGCTTTACACTGAAGAGGTGTTGCCAGCCAAAACCAAGAGGTAGTCTATCCTTTAAGAGAGGCAACAAACTTTGCTGTTGAAAGGAAACAAACTCCAGAAATAAGAGGCATTCTTGGTGTCTTTGGTTTGTTCTGTATTCTTGTGTGAAGAAGCTCTTTTGTCACTTAAAAAGTTATATATGAAGTTTCTTCCGTCTCTGTGGAGGAAGAGTCTTGCGAAAAAGCAAAAGCAAGCACTGTGAACAAGGTTTTAGGGCTTTCCTTTCAATGTTACAAGCTCAGCACAGGATGCTCAGGGGCTGGTGCGTCTCATGAGCCTTGTTTGTGTGAACTTTTCAAATGACCGTGAGAAAAGTTCTGGTTTCCCTTTTCGCACCTAAACAACTGGCCCTGCAGTATCGACAAGCAGAGGTGGAACTCTAGATTTGTTTAAAAAGAAAATGTCACAGCTGACTCAGAGTCATGGGCTGCAATGCTGTGGCAAAGAGGGGACCATATAAGGTTCTTCCTTTGCTCTACCGAGTCACGTATGCCAGGCAGTGACATCACGCATCACGTTTTGCTCCTCTAGCAAAGGAGGGTTGCAACCTGAAGTTGTTGTGTGGCCTCCTCTGGTCTGAAGCTTGTTTGCTCTCATTATGAGCTGTTGTTTACTCTATTACTAGGAAGGCTTGGTCCACAACTGTTCGCAACCAGAACAGCCTTGCAGTCAGTAAATCCATCTGTGAGGTCAGATTTTAGAGGGCTGGGACAATCGTGCATTTGTTAAACTGTTAATGCCAACGCTTACTAAAATTGTTTGCTATAAACTACAAGTGTCTCGCAGCTGAATTTCGTATGAAAGAGGAAACACAGTGGCATGATTGTGCTGATCAGATAATGGTTTCCTGTTAGAGTAAGGGGAATAACTGAGCTACATTAATTACCTGCTTGTTCTGATGGTTTTAGAGGAGAGTACTCTGTAGATAGACACTGAGCTTATCAGTGCTTTTGAAGAACATTGGTAATTGTCTGGAGCATGGAGAGATTAAACATTTTGACAGCTGTATTTGGAATTAAGTAAAGCAGGTCAAGGAGTGGACTGCCTGCTTCAGCTTTTCATTGGCATGAGTTACAGTGGGATCCAGTGCATCATCTGTGCTGTTCCCTGTTCTGTCTCTTCCCTGGGTGTTTTTTTGCTTCTTTTTTTTTTTCCCTTTTTTTTTTTTCTCTTTGAATCTGTCTAATTGATTGGTTATTCACAAAGAAGTTTAGGGGATGCAGAAATAAAGCAGTTTTCCCAGTGTATAGTTCTTTACTGATCATTTTCAGAGTGCTAGATCATGGTTTAGCCCCAACGCACATGTTCTGCTCTCAGTAATGGGAAGGCCAGATGTCCACAGACCTCCAAAACCATCGTATCGTAATAAAGCCTGCTGTCAAACACAGGCAGACAGAATTCATGTGCAAGACTTTCGGCTCTAACCATGCCTCTCCCTGACCAGAAGCAGGGTGGAGGAAGCATGGGGATTTTGAGTCTTCCTTCTGTTCACTTCCTATTCCCCAATTTAATTCCACTGCTCTGGAAACGGAATGTTAGTGTTTCCCAGAAAGCAAGACATTTTCAAGGAGGTAAAGAGAGGAAATGAGACTCCAGCCACCCTTTGCCCATCTGCACACTGGTAAGAGTGTTTAAAACCTGTGTGTTTTTTTATTTAATGTACATCAGAGGTATTTCCACTTTCAGTCCCAGGTATTTGTGCAGTAAACACTATCCTATCAGCCCCTTCAATATTAGCTATAAGCTATAAATATAAATACATATAAATACATATAAAATATGTAGCTCTGCTTCAGTGAATTCTCTGTTGAATGACAGAAGTTACTTGAGCAGAATTTAAGTCAAAGTTTCTTCTTTTCTCCCTCCCCCTCATTCATCTGGGGATTTATCTTGCAGTGATCATATACGATAATGTTACTGAGAAAGGTGAATGCAGTTATCTTTGAAAAGTCTTAAAGATTCTCTCCCTGACTTCCAGAAATCTCCAACTTGCTTGTTGCAACCAAGAAGGCGCAGGAATGGCAACCTGTTTATCACCTAGGGCAGCTGAGTTTCCATCGAATCCTCAAGGAAGAAATCATGCAGGTAGGTAGCTGCTGAACTGTGTTTCTCTCTTATAATCAAAGTAGTGTGACAACCCACTGTACCCAGTTAAGGAATGTAAAATCATCCCATTCCGGCTGGTTCTTCCACTTCCATTTTCCTCAGCAAAACTTAATTTGAATCCTTATTTGTATTAAAGTCTCTTATTGCAGCATCTAAATGTTTATAGGTCCTTGTGTGGAAAAAGAAGAGAAGCTTGGAAGTAATGCCTTTCACTAGGAATAAAACTGATATTTGAGCAATTTTCTAGTGTCTGTGGAAAGACGTACTTCTAAGGTCATTCTAAAAAAAAAAAAAAAATCAGGAAAGTCTTAAGAGCTGCTTTTCCTAGCTGGTTTGTTGCTAAATGTGGCTATATCTTTTAAAGCCTGGCATACCAGAGGAACGGACAACTTGAGGTTTAAGATAATATCCTACGATAAAAAAAAGGGTGAAATACTCAAAAGCTCTGAAGAGTCTTAGCATTCAAAATTTTGTGTTGCGAACTGATTTAGCACCTATGTTCCCAAATTTTCTGACAGTTGTTTGCGGTTACTGATGCAGGAGACCTGAATAAACTTCAAAAACCATACAGTGGCTTGAATGCCCAAAGCACATTTAGTGTTTCTAGAAGACTTGAGCTCTTAAATCATGCAGTTAGCTTCTTCAGTTAAATAAAAAGTGTGGTTTTTTTTTTTTTAGGTTGCAGCACTGAACGGGGAGAACAGATATAGATTACGTTAATTGTTTTTTAATTGGTATATTTACAGTCAGTGTGCAGACTTCCTGCAAGAATATCCCAAGGCGGAATCCTCTGTTATTTAGGAGGAAATTGCTTTCCCAAACAAAGCGTTCCATTGAAATATTACTTCCTCTAACTTTTGGAAACACATTAAAGATTGCCTCAACGGCAGCTTATTGTAAATAAGAGGCCAGTTATTATTTATTCATGTGGTGTTTAGTCTAATAATGTTAAATCACACTGAACCTGTTTGATGTTAATGGAGATGTAATAGCCCTTTAATATCAAATGAGTTTACGGTGGTGAGTGTGCTCAGAAAGAGATTATTAAAGCAAAGAATAACACATTGTCATTGGTTTCTTGCCGTAATAATTTTAAGTCTGTATGTAGCTAGATCAGGTGAAGGGCTAAGTCCCCTCTCTACCTGGAGAGGCAGAATAGAGTGCAGATTCGAGTATTTGTGTAAGTCTACACTTGTTTGCTTTATGTCCTGGTTTAAAAAATATATGGTGTGTTATGTCTCAGGGCGAACATCTTGGAAGAGGGACGAGAACACAGATTTACTCAGGGATTCTCAACTACAAAGATGATGAGAACGAAGGATATCAGAATGAAAAAGAGATTAAAGTCCTTCTCAAAGTCTTGGACCCCAGCCACAGAGACATTTCTTTGGCAAGTTTCTTTTCTTTTTGTCTGGTGTAGTACAAACACTGGGTCTCACAACACTGGACATAGTTAACTATGAAAAACCTTTAAAAAAGGGGTTGTGTATATAGCAGGGTAATGGGAAAATGCTGAAGGTGTATGTCACCATTGTAGGCAGTCAAATCCATCATTGATCAGGACTTTTGAGGTACTCTGTAAGCTGATCTCATTAGGCAGGCAGCAGCACTGGGTCTGGCTGGAGCACGCCAGTGCTCCCCGCCAGCCTGCACGTGTGCAGACCATAAGCGCAAGGAAAATGGACTCAGACCTTGCTGTGGTATGAAATGCAGGGTTGTACCCATGCCCAACACCTTGCAGCTGTCTCAGTTGAGAGCCATAGAGTTTGGTGAGGGTACTGCTGCCGACCAGAAATTGCCTCCACCTTGTGCTTTGGGCTGTGTCACTAGTTGTCATCGACAGGGCCACAGGCAAGTTGCTTGATCTGCATCTTGCTTAATCACTTAGTAAGAGAGGCTCATGCATAACACAGGGGATGCTAAGACGCAGCGTATGCATGTGTGCAAGGGTGCAAGGAAGAGCATTGGTTGCTTCCATGACCTGGTGGACAACACATCTCTGACAGCACTCCGCTGCCTCATTACTACAGTGGGATGGCACATCCCTACCATTGCTAACCCTTTACATTACGGGAAAACACAGCAATCTTTTGCAAATGTTTTTGTTACTTGATGCTCTGTATTTGTTAAATGCTTGGGAGACTGCCACAATGACCAGCAGTTTAGTGGCTTACCTCTTTCACTTTCTCACAGGCGTTCTTTGAAACAGCAAGCATGATGAGGCAGGTGTCCCACAAGCACATTGTCCTCCTCCATGGAGTCTGCGTCCGTGATGTTGAAAGTGAGTTCAGTGAACACAGAATCACAGAAGGGTTTGGGTTGGAAGGGATGTCTAAAGGCCATCTAGTCCAGCCCCCTGCAGTGAGCAGGGACATCTTCAACTAGAGCAGGTTGCTCAGAGCCCCGTCCAGCCTGACCTGGGATGTTTCCAGGACAGGGCATCTACCACCTCTCTGGGCAACCTGTTTCAAGGTTCCAACATCTGTCTAGGCAGCACACTTAAGTAACAGGCTTGGTAGGGACAGGGCAGCCATTCAGTTCAGTGGTAGCATGGGGAAAGATGGGCTTAGCAGCTGCTGCCTTTTGATTTTTCCAGTGCAGACAGAGGTGGAATTGGAACAGCAATGCAGCTGCAGAGTCCTTTCTACTAACGAGTTTCCTCTTCCAATGCTGTCTTTGAATAAGTGCTTAACAGGTTGATTCCTTGAGGTCAGAATGCCAGAGTGATAGTGGTGGTGTCAATACAAACCAGCCTTCGGGCAGAAGTTATTTTCCTGGGAAGGCTGTGGTCTTTGAAATGCTTTGTTCCAGCTTTACTGTACATTTACTACATAAAGCCACACTCTTCTTAATTTGGGCTCTGAGCACTGAAATAGACTTTGAGGAAGGTGAAATAAAGACATAATATAACCATCTTGCCTGGAGTGGGGAAGATGGTAACAGGCCTATTAGATTACTCCAGACACCGGTCATTGCAATACTGACTTTATGCACCTGACTTTGTAGATATCATGGTCGAAGAGTTTGTTGAATTTGGGCCTCTGGATCTGTTTATGCATCGGAAAAGTGAAGTTCTGACAACTCCTTGGAAATTCAAAGTTGCCAAGCAACTTGCAAGTGCACTAAGCTACTTGGTAAGAAGGCATCTTGACCAAAGCGTTGCCTATAGCTGCTGCAACCTAATGCTACAGAGGTTTCATGTGCATTAGTAACTAATGAATTTCCTTTCTCAGGTGGGACCGTACAATGTAAGGGGTATTCTTTTTGTATTCATTATGTTGCTTTAAATAAGAAGAAAGACTCTCAGAGGAGGTGATGAGCTCCTTTTTTATCAGCAGGCCAAACAGGCTGCGTGCTTGCATTTGCCACCAGTTTTCTGTATGTGCCTGCAATTAAGCCCTTTGTAAAAAAGGAATACAATGTTGGTCTTTTTTCCAAAATGCATCAGCTGTACAAATACAATGCTTAAGTGTGAACAGTCTGTTTCCCTATGCCACGTTTCCCTGTTTTTCTCTAGGATAATTTCTTCCAAGCTGTATTTTTGGAGTATTTTACAGTGATCCCCTATGCCATAGGTATGTTAGAGCACTTGCAGAGCATTGCTAGCTTAGTGCACTCACTATTCTTTTCCTCCCTTCCTGTAGGAGGATAAAGATTTGGTACATGGAAATGTGTGTACTAAGAACATTCTACTGGCACGAGAGGGAATTGACACTGAATATGGCCCTTTCATAAAGCTGAGCGACCCAGGAATACCAATAACTGTGCTGTCCAGGCAAGGTATGGCACAGGAATCAGGTTTCTTTCTTCAGTGTGGTGGGGAAGGGAGAAATATCATTTATACCAGCTAGAACTGGCTCTAGAATTAATCAGCTTCCATGACTCTGAAAACTACATGGAAGTAAAGGAGTGTTGCTGATGGTGGGTGCTTGTTGTATTAATTTCTCTTAAAAAGTCGTGTTAAGTCTAGGGAGATAGAATCAATCTCAGTTTCTGGATGGCTCAAGGCACGAGCTTGTAAAAGCCACAGAAACATCATCCTGCGAACAGGGATTTGAGAATTGAGATTTCCCTGAAACTGGACAAATACTGCAGCCGTAGCTTATCTTAGTTAAGCAGCTGTTAGATAAGAATAATTAAGCTAGAAGGCTGATTTTTTTTTTTTTTTTTAAATCCCTTTGATACTAACTCCAAAATGCTTGGATTCTGTGTTTTATCTAAGAATGTGTTGAGCGAATCCCCTGGATTGCACCTGAGTGTGTTGAAGACTCCAAAAATTTAAGCATTGCAGCAGATAAGTGGAGTTTTGGTACAACACTGTGGGAAATCTGCTATAATGGAGAAATACCACTGAAAGACAAGACGTTAGCAGAGGTAAAACTATGTTACAAAAACTTGACCTTGACATCTCAAATACCTCCTCTTCTGGCATTTTGGTTTCCATGCCCAGCTTGAATTTCTTTCAATTTACATGAAAACCAGCTCAGCTGGACTTGATAAGGGGCTGATCCATCCAAATTGCCACAGGTTGCAGCAGGA